TAGCGGTCCTCTCATCTCGATTTTATTTCTTTTTTATATTATGTATGAATCTTTTCTTTATTTTCTTTTTTTCTTGTTTTTTTTTTTTTTTTTTTCTTTTTTTTCGTAGAGGCACACAACAACAACAACCACAAAAGTTTTTCCTCTACCCCTAACACCCTTCATCTTCCGTCACCTTCTCTTCGGATTCTCATATATATGTATATCTCTTTCTACATCCCTCCCTCCCATCATCCTTCTCACGTTCTTTGTTCGTTGGCAAAGCAACCAGACGATGACGTCAATCGCGAGGGTATACCAATGAAAAAGTGGAAAGAGATGGAGAAGAAGAGAAGGGACAAAAAGAAGAAGGGATTAATGACGGGTCGGGAAAGGCAGGTGTGACTTTCAAAAGTGTTCGTTCGTCCTTTTTGTTGTTGATTTTTTTTGCTTTCTTCTTCTGTGGCAGCGGCGGTGGGGGTGGCAATGGAGACGAGGTGGGGACGTAGATCAACCTCCCCCGCGGTTCAGCAAGCCAGAACTACTACTTGCCCTTCTTCATCGCCTACGTTTACCACTACCCCATCAGACACTGACGTCATCGCCATGTCGACGCCATAATCGCTGCTGCTGTTGCTGCTGCTGTTATCGCTGGTGCCGTCGCCGCCATCGAGGATTTACCAACCCCAACGTCTAGTTGCAGTAGTGGTTGAAGTAATAGTAGTAGTAATGGTAGTAGTAGTAGTGGTAGTAGTAGTAGTAGTAATAATAATAATAATAGTAATAATAGTAGTATTATAAGTAGTAGTAGTAGTAGCAGTAGTAGTAGTAGTAGTAGTAATAGTAGTAGTTGTAGATCGATTTTAGTCGATCTCACTTTGTCCCATCGTTTTCTACAGGAGCCACGGGAACACAACGAAGAAGTAGTCCACCACCACTTAGGAGGAGGAATCAACCCGCGGATGAAGATAATAACAACGAGGACGGGGTTGGTAGTAGGGTATAATAAGAAATAATTGGCGACGGTAATGGATAGGACGACGACGGGGTCGCATCACGACGAACACGCCATCCAAGAGTTGCAAGTGCAAGTATAACACGCAGTAGGTATAACGGGTGTATAATAATAGCCGTTAGCGTAAACGTAGGTCGCTGGTGGTCCCGGTGGTGGTTGTTGATGATTCGTCAGTCGTTGCTGTTGTTCTTGATAAAATACCTGGCATGCCAGATTTTGGATCAATGCAAGCGTTTGTCGCCGTTCGTGACCCATCAGACAAACCGTCGACTCTTCAACGACTTTGTGCAAAAGCATCAGGTACTTGTATTTTAGGGCTTCTTCTTCCGGCCCAACGAAATGATTCCACAAGTAGTTTTCTAGCTTCGCCTGTTGCTGACTTATATCAGGAAAGTCGATGAAGAATCTCGAACACATGTATCGCTCGAGGGTCTTTATGTAGTCCGGTTTAGCCGGCTTGTACATCTTGACCAAGAGATTGCAATATTTCAATAAACCACCGCCTCTTATCTCCTCCGGATTCCTCGTCGATATGAGTTTCTTGTGAAGATGGTAGAGTGCTTCTTGGAAATCACCGTAAACAGACTCGCCTACTACGGTTGGGTAAAAGTTTTCACCGATCGGTAATTTGCTGCACTCGTAAAATAATAACAGAGAATCTAGGACAATTTGAAAACTGTCCACGGAAAATTCGAATTGTCGTCTCATAGAGTCGACGAATTTCAATTCTACGTTCCTGTGTCCACGTGAATTCCCAAGGGATATCAAAGACCATCTATCGCCGTCGTTATTCACTTTGACCATCTTGCTGACGTAAGCTTCTTTCAAGCTGCACGTTGTTATGCGTTTTCGGCTTACACCCTCCGGTAAAAGATCGAACAAAGAACCCAATACCGCAGCCTTAACCTTGTCGTAGTTACGGCCGCTGGATAATTCAACAGCGAATATCAGATCAAGATCATTGTAAGGTTGGGATTCGGTTGCCAATACGTGCGACGCTGCACCACCGTTCAATCTGATGTCCCTTACCCTCATGCCAGCACCTCCATTACTAGGGTCACCTTCTAGTTTGCTACGTACAACTGTTACGAGATCTCTCAGTCTAACCTCCAATGTTGGAAAGTTCCCCCTACCGTGAATGCTTACAACTTCGTCCATCACATCGTTCAATCGACGCACCTGCTCGAAACTCAACACGGCCAGCCTTTGTTGAGGATCAGGGCAATCTGAATTATTATTGTGACTGTTGTTCTTATTATTATTATTGTGTTGATTGTTCAAATGATTGTTACTGTTCTCCTTGTTCGAATCATTCCCGTTGTTGGTTTTGTTGTTCACTTGACAGAGCGACTCCATCATAGCGACCCAACGCCGGCGTTCGTTGCCAATGTCCAGAGAGCCACACTGAAACAAACAAACACAAACATATTAATATATGTTCTATTTTCAACTTTGTATATCGCAAATATGTCATTTTTATCTTCTTAATATAGCGAAAAAAAATTAAGGCAGATAAGATTGTTTAACATAATTTTCAATCGAAAGAGGGGAACGTTACGAAACACGATCGATAAATCAATACGATAACGGCATTCTCGTGACCTTCGTTTTAAAAAAGAAGTAAAAGAATAAAATGATGAAGAAGAAGACGAAGTAGATGAAGAAGAAGATGAAATGGTGGAACGCAATCGCAAAGGCAAGAAATGCCATGAGGTTACGTCCGGGTAGTTGTGGTGATGGTGGTGTGGTGTGATCGAACGAAGATGCGCGCGCGTGTACAAACACACATACACAGAACAATGTTCCTCGTCCTCTCAACCCAGAGCTGTAACTTTACTTATGAACTTTTCGTCGTGATGTGAGTCGATACTCGAATAATAGAAACAAGCCAAGTTGCCACAGGTCACTGTGTTAATCGTTTCATTTTCATCAATATTCCTCTATCTATTTATCTTGAGATGATATGCACGGGTTCATTTATCGACTTACAACATCCTTCATTCACGAAAAACTAAACACAAGTTGCATGGAACAGGTAGCATCCGACATATGTTTGGAATTTTATACACTTTCGTTCGATTTATTTGTTATATTTCTATGTTGACTTGTAATAAAAGTACGTATAGATTGATATATTTTTGATAAATTTGTAATTTTATTCAAAATTGTCATAAACTATACTTTCGAGACGTGTATACGATTTTGATTGACCGGAAAAGTTGTTACCACAAAGATTTTGCGAAAAATTGTATTGAACATTTAAAAGTATTTATCTACGCAATTCTTTTAAAAGAATCCAATAAATGATCGAATAAATACTTTAGTAATTTCTAGACAAGTTTGAGAATAAAAAATAAAAATTTATTAAATAATAGTGATTTGCTATTATTAATCGGGTCAGCGAACGCGGACGCGAGAATGTGAACTTTCACTAGTCCGAGTCCATCCAACTTCTTCGAATGTATCCCGATCGATTGTAAGGACGAACTTTTGACGTGTCTGGAATGTAAAGTGGGGTAGAAAGATAGATAGGAATGATCTGTTATAGTAGGAGAAGAAGAAGACTATGATTAGGTGGGAGTTAGTAACTAGGAAGAAATAATAGCGACTAGAAAATGATGTGCCAGCTGTGTAACTTCGAACAATACGATTTTAAAATACGTCACAACAACGATAATTCTTTAAATTCATATGTCGACGATCCAGATGGATAATAAAAAAATATATATATCTATATCTAATATACACAAATAAATACTAAATTAATATTCATGACGTACATAAAAATACTGATTACGTCGTCATAGATTAAAGTGAACTAAAGAAAAGAAAAATATTCTACAAAATTTCATACTAACATCCAACAACACTCGAGAATTCAAAGTCCCATTTGTAGGACCCGTTCCGATCATCGGGAATAAAATTAAGCACCAAAAAGAAAAAGAAAAAGAAAAAGAAATAAAATAAAGTTTATATAAAAATATATATATATATAAAAAAAGAAGAAAAACACTAGAAGAAATTTCTTTGAGTATACCCTTCACCCTTTGGGCAAGTGTCACTTTGACGTATAGATCGTATAAGATGTGATATATATATAGATATTCGTCGTGAATAATAGCACCGATTCGCGCGGAGTAAACTGAAAAATTAGTTTCCGTCTCCGACGAGAGTCAGCAGCGAACTGAATCGTACGAAGTGAAAGGTATCTATAGGTTTTCTGGTGGCAGCAGCAGCAGTGACAGTGGCGACGGAGTTTCGTTGGAGGTGGAAGAACAAGTTGGTGGTGGTAGATAGGAGGTCATAGTGGTGTTGGGATGTTGGATGTTGGGTTGTGGGTGGTAGTGGTGGTGGATGGGTGAGTGTAGTTGTAGTAGTGGTGGATACTATCAGCAATGTACCTACGTCAGCAACGTAGCACCGAATTTTATTGGAGGGCAACACAAAGTCCTATGTATACGATTGACATCACTACAATTTCTCCTTTCCACCCTCGTCACCTATACTCCTTTTCTTCCTTCTTGTCATCCTACTACAATTATGCAACATTGTCACGATAATATCATAATCCTGTACAAATTTAAATATCATTTTGATAATTCATCTAAAAATGTGTTACAATTTAAACATTTCATATTCTTTTATCTGTATCTCTGTATTTCTATTTCCAGTTGAACATTCATTGATTCATTCGTTATGTGAAATGTTGAGGATAGAATTTCTTTGATGATGATGATGATGTGTGTGTATGCTCCCGCGCGCGCAAGTGTGTGTAAATTCTAGTCGACGAGAGTTCTCCAACGTGTCCCCTATCGCGCATCCACCCACCTATCGCTCGATCTAACCAACCCTCAACCTTCCTCTTCCTTTTCCTTCCTTTCCTTCTTTCTCTTTCTAATGCTGCAGGACTTTCTATGACGTCACAAAGAGCAAGCGGGGGCGCCTCTGAATGAACACGCAGTCAAATATATCTACCATTAAATATCTTTTACTACACTACTACTACTACTACCATCACCACTACTGTCGCTACTGTTATAAATTCTTCTCATCGTAAATAATCGTAATTTTCTATTTATTTATTTATTTCATTTTCAACAATTTTTTTTTTACAAACGCCAAGTCTACGATAAATTCATACGTAAAAAAACATCCATATTTAATTATATGAAAAATCTGACTTACGAATAAAAACATGATTTATACAACTTTATAAAAATGTTTTATACTCATGCGGATAAATTTTTAAGATCAATTAAAACGATTAGAGTGCGTTTTATATATATATATATATAACCATAATTTTCCGATAGAGAGTTGAAGTGTCCCTTAACTCGAGTTTGCTTTTAACTTAGCAGCGTGGGGGCGTATTTACTATGATAAAAAATAAATAACACAAAGAAAAGGAACAAAAATTTCTACAGAGAGGGGGAAGATAATAAAAAAAAAACAAATAAAAATAAAGACAAAGTAAAAGACGGAAATTTTCAAAATATATTTTTGACGCGCATGCGCGTACTCACCCTCTCATTTTTATTTCGTCACCAATTCCTACATTTTGCGGACAGAAGGGGAGAGGAAGAAGGAAAAAACTAAATGCACGACACACGACGAACAAACGTTATCGACTTTGTTATAATAATCATCGTACTCACGTCACAAGTTACAAATGTGTACATAGATGTGTCATTGATAGATCGTTTAATACAACAATCTTTCATTTCCTATAATCTACAAGTTAGTTCAAAAATTTCAAAATTGTTATTCAATTTTCCCTTTTTTTTTTTTTTTTTTTTTTACGACGATCATCATTATCGTCATCATCACCATCATTATTATTAAATTTATGATTGTATTTTATAAACATTGTACACGTATAGTAAGTTCAAGTAAACGCGATAAGATTTTTCTTCCATTTTTTTTTTTAATAATTTATAGAAAAAATGGAAAAAGAAAAAGAAAAAAATATAATAAAGTAAAAATAATCGATTATATGAACATTTATTTGTTCATACTTCATTTCCGTTTCTGCTATTTTCTTTGTTTCCTTTTTTTTTTTATAAGAAAACAATAACTTTCTTATCGCGGTATGTTTACCTTCGCAGATTTCGAGATAAGGTTATTCTTAATAAAAAGTCTTTGATTAAAATCTAATGGTAAGTGCATTTATATATATAATACATATATATAGTTACGCGGAATGATAATTTCTGGGAATTGAGGAGGATTCGCGTTAACAATTTATTGACAAGGAAAACAACAAGAAGAAAGAGATAAAGAATGAGGAGATTATCGATTCATAATTTAAAAAAAATAATTCAGAAAGGTCAAACACCTACGCAAACGCATGCATACGAACGCATTAAATAAATTATGATCGATAAATGCCATAATATTAATTAAACTAGACAGAATATATATCGTAAGATAGTAATGAAAATAAATAAAAGTCTACGTAATAAATTCTATCTAATAAAATAAATGAATACACTTTTTATTATTATTATTATTATTATTATTATTATCTATGATTTTAGGTAGACTGTTATTTAATCATTAAATAAAATTTAAAATAGTTAAATATAATATTAAATAAAAGTCCACACACAGATACAATATTCTAAATCAAAGAATTATTCCATTTTTTCCTTCTATTTTTAATACATATTATTTTATAAAAAATATATATTTATTATTTATGACTTTAAATTGACATCAATTTAAATCATTAAATAAATCTAAAAATAGTAAACTAAAATATTAAATAAAAGTCCAGGTAAAACCACAAATAACAATAATAAAAAAAACAAATATTATTTTTAACTGCAATAAATGATAATGTAAAAACGGAAAGGGAAAAAAAATGAGAAAAACAATATCGGAGAAGTTGCTTCTCTCTCATTCTCGTTAACGTTAATGTTCGCGGAACCGGAAAACGTAGCAAGCAGCAGCATCAGAAGCAGCGTGTTTGAGATGCCAGTATAGCGCATATATATGTATAATGTGTATAGACATACATACACATACTATTTACGTGTATATACGTATGTAATATGTATATGTTCTGTGTATGTAGCTAGTAGCAGGGGTCAGCGAATGATCGTCCATACGTCCTAGAGTTGATTTCGTATGAAGCAAGAGGAGAATGGAATGGAAATGACGACAACAGAGGCGGATCAACGTGCGCGCGTGCTATCAAGCACGTTGCAAATTGTAATACGCCTTCATCGAACCGTGCATATACATATACATATATATAATATACATATATATATTTTATGCATCAAGATATAAATATATATCTAACATTTATATATGCACATGTATGTATGTATGTATGTATGTATGTATGTATGTATGTATGTATGTATGTATGTATGTATGTATGTATGTATGTATGTATG